TGTGCGGTCCGTTGATAGCCATTGAGTTTAATCTCTCTGTCCTTTACTTTGCATTCACTCTCGATCTCAACGTATTGTTTACCCGACGGAGACATTACTGACAAACACAACAATATTAATAAATTTAGTTAAGTTTCACATCTAATTTATATCTATATAATAAAATTCCAATTAAAAGTTTGTGTTAAAATTTTAAAATTAAAACTGTAACTATTAACTATAATTGACTTATATACATTTAAAAAAAATTTAACTAAGAGTTAATTAATGTTTAATTAAGTAGACAATTTTTTATTATTAATTTTAGTATTAATTATATTATTTATTTATACTAATAAATAATAATATTATATAAGTTATTATGAAGCAAAACACAGTAAAGTTAATTAAAAATTATTTATATTACTTTCAGATAAAATGATTAAATTAATAATTAGGACAATGTCAAATTAATTGTTAATTAGTATTAGTATGTGGTTAAATTGTTTTTAATAGTTTTAAATATATTATTATTGAAAACATCATAAAATAAATTCATACTTCTATTGAGTGCTCTATTAATCTCTTTGGCTGAACAGGTGGATGGGAAACACACCCCGAACCTCAAGTATGTCTTTTTGAGCAAGTTCATTGCCTGCAGTAATCTCATGTCATTATTATCGGGCAAATGTGTGGACCGGTAGGCCGTCTCGTTATTAAGTGAGGGATACATGAACGGCAGTTCCCGTTTAGCCAAACAGTACCGACCCTTCATTTTAAGCCCCGGGAACTGTTCGTTCTCTATGTCCAGGCATTCCTCATATAAGCCAAAGCTGGTGAACGTACCGTCCAGTAGGCCGTTGGGTATGATTTGCATTGAATCGTAAACTGTAATCAAATATTATTTATTATTAGTTTTTTGAGGATTTCTGCACACAAATTAAACTTGGTGATCACAAATGTGATATTTTAAAATGACAATTACAAATGTATTTAAAAATACTGTAATACTTAAACATAAACTGTAATTATAATTTTATAATAATTTAAAATTTAACAATAATTTTGTTTTATTTATATAAACTGGACGATAGGAAACAAAATGAACTTACTTATAATATCGTATAATTATTACACATAAATTTATAACTTATGAAATATCTTATATACAGTATTTTCTAGTAAATTAATTAATTTCAAACAATTTATAAAATATCTCAGCGTGGTTATTTAATCAAAATTTCTTTAGAATGTATATTTTTAAGAATAATAATTAAAATGATCACTTACACCTAATAGGCCAGGTATCTTTCCTTTCGAGCGCCCTTTTCATCATTACAAACGACATCAAACACAGGGGCGACAACTCTAGACTCTCAATAAAAGCTACCAGGGTGTTTCTCATCTTGATCACTTACACCTAATAGGCCAGGTATCTTTCCTTTCGAGCGCCCTTTTCATCATTACAAACGACATCAAACACAGGGGCGACAACTCTAGACTCTCAATAAAAGCTACCAGGGTGTTTCTCATCTGAATCGTACTGTCCACTGACAGTCCATCTTTGGCTTCGGCCATAAAGTCACGTAAATTTAATTTTACATTTCGGCTAAAATTTCCGACTTTATGACCCAATTGTGCCAAAAACTGTATGACATTAGGATTTTTGAGTAGTTTTTGCAAAAACTCTAGTTTTATGGTTGTATTTAAAGTA